CATAAAAAAAGTATAATTGCATAATAATTAATAATACTCTCTAAATATAGTTTATACATGGATTTTAATTAAAAAAAATGTTTTTAATTAAAAATATCCAAATTTTATAAATTCAAATTTTACACATTTACATTTTAGAAATATCTGACATTATCGAACGAATACGTTCCATGAAAAGTACAAATCACAAAGCCTTTAAAGAATTAATATGTAGAACTTTCTCTAAATAATGTGTATTGAACAAATTCATCCAGACCATTGCAGACATTAGTACAATTCATGCAACTTGTCATCAATTAATTATTATTATTGATTATGCAAAGCTTCATGCTTCGTGCCTACAATTAATTCATATGTGGGAATTTTCGTGGTTCTACTAATTTTATAGTGATCTTACATTAATTTCAACGACAATAATTTTGTGTAGTGTTTTGTATGTTTATTTTGATTCATATTTCTATAATATATTTCTATTGTTTTATTATTTGCCACTAAGAAAATCTATCTGCTCCTAAAACTTTAGGGAAAGTGACTTAAAACATTTAAGTACCTAATTATTGCCATAGAATATTATGAATATTAAAAAATTATTTGAAATTCCTAAATAATTGCTGCGTATGAATATCTTGTTAAGTAAATACGACACGTGCAAACATGTCTGTTTTCAAACATACATTTCACGAATTATAATACATCTTTACTTTAATGTGAAAAAGAAAAATTAAAATTAATAAAACAAAATAAAAAGACAGAATTAAAAATATATAACAATTGTTCTTTTGGGCTGAACTTTTGCACCAGTTAATCTTTCTTCCTCTTCTTTTCTTCTGAAGAAAGATGAACTGGTGCAAAAGTTTAGCTGAAAAGAACATGCCTATTAATACACTAAAATAAAAGAAGACAAGTTAATAAAAGAAATGACACGAAAATTGGAATAAGAAAATATATTTTGTGCGTGTGTGCGTGTGTAAAAAAGATATATTAAATATAAAAGTAAATTAAAAAGAATTTTCAGAATATTATGTTAACGGTTGTGTTTTTAAAAGATACACATACAACTAAACCGAGACAGTTCATGTGCAAAGGTGCCAAGAAACTGTCGATACAAAGAGAACAACAATAATATACAGTCTCTCTTGGTTGCTACACACAATATGGGTAAACTAACAACAAATAGTTTCTCCAATCTAGGATCAAATGTTAAATACAATTAAATATGTATAATATGAATCCGTACGAAAGTCATGACGATACTAGATACTCTCAAGGAACGTAAAGGGAGACAGGGCGGAGCGAGTGACTTGTGTCCTTTGCAGCAATGGCTTTTTGTTAGTTGGCAACACTAACACATTAATAATCCTAAAATCACTCAACAATATATGATTAGTAACAGTACAAAACGAGGGCATTCTTATGTCTGACAATTCTTAGAAGTGGTAGAGATTCGCCACTTTTCATCAGTCTTATCTAGAGATGTAAAATTACCGTCAGATTCAATGTGACGATTACTTATAGTAAAATTACGGTAAGATGGTAATTTATTGATAATTTTGGTAAAATTCGTTGTTTTGTGTATGCTGTAATCATGTTATTGGCTGTATTCATGTTTCTCAGACTAATACATAAAACAATAACATAAAATAATATTCTTCTTATATTTTCATCAAATTTCTCACGACTTAGTAAAACTGAATCTGAAAGCATTTATTATCACTGAAACTTTGCTATTCTCACTAAGGACTCCATGTACATAATCTATTTGAAAAGTATATGTAATGTTGGAACTTAATGTTATTCTTCTTAAATTTTTATACATAATATTGCCGAAATTTTTTAAAATTTCTTTACTGTAATGCTTAATTTTCTATATACAATATACGCAATATATGTAGTATATCAATATCATATTTTAAGAAAAATACATAAGATATCCCAACATTCGCGACTTGAAATACTACAACAAGAGAGTCTTCGAAAAATTAAATAGAAAAGTTATTTGTAAATTTATTATTTTAAGCAATAGTTTTTAAGATATAATAGTTTAAATGTAACCAATTACAAACTACATTTACATAATCATCTATAAGTATTAGTGCGCGCTCACCAACGCTCACTAATACCTACCACACATGCGACTTATGAACAGATGACCATCTAAACGTAGTCTATAACTGACTATATTTAAATCTTTATTACCTAAAAAATTACTACTAAAATAAAAAGTTATAAGTAACTTTTTTATTTCATTTTTTGAAAACTTTCTGTTTATAATATTTTAAGTCACAGAATTTTGAGACATCCTGTAGATGAGTTAAATAAATGTTCCATTCATCTCAAATGATTTATATCAAAATTTTTTTATTTCTGCAATTTTTCCAAAAGTATCATTTTGCTTAGCTTTTGAAGATTACTGGGTTATTTACCGTAATTTATAAAGTAAATTATCACATAAGGTCGTTTTCATCTCTAGTCTTCATTTTGCTTCTAAGCAACTCCGCTGCATTCGCATAAAGTTGCATAAGTGCAAAGACAGGCTTTTGTGATATATTTAATTCACGCAGTCTCCAGCTTTTCATGCATTAGAGAAAATTTGGCTCAGCCTGTAGCCTTATTCCTCCCTCCCTCTCCCTCTCTTTCTCTCTCTCCCCCCTCTCTTTTTCTCTTTCAAGTACAGCTATCCTTCAATCAATAATTTGACTTTCATTTTTATAATATATTACAAGATTGTCACTTCAACAAGATCTCCTCGTGCAAAGATCTTCCAAGTTTTTATAAAGATATAATACATTTTCTTTGTCATTTCCAAATAATTTATATCGTTAGAAACATTAAGATTTACAAAGAAATCCTATTAAAGTGATAATATGTTTCACACTGAAGCGTATTCACACTAATCTCTACATCTGAAAAAAAAACACGCGGAATTTACACGATAATATCGATTAACGGAAATGTAAGCCAAACAAGTATAAGGCTGTAAGTTGCAACATTAACTTTTTACAATACATCTTGTCTCTTTGTGCGAAAATTTATAATTGTAGCAAACAGAGCAGAATGAATTCCCGGCAAGTGTCTTGAAAGCAAAATAAATGACTGCGCTTTGCACTAACTAAAAACTAAAGTATCCAATTGAGAAAGAATTCTTATATGTCCATCGACTCAACATTCACAACAAATGACAACACCATTTCTGATATTTACAACCCATTGCAAAAAGTTGTTCCCAACCAGATTCACATTCATATTTTACAGAAATGATCGATAGACTAAGAACTAGATACATCCACTTTTTACAATTCCATGGACATCATTTTTCCTTTCTGATGAGCAGATCTGGAAGCAGATCTACTCTCGACAGTTTGTAATACTCCAAAAAGTAAATTTGCCTGATTCTTTTATGCGTTATGTCCTAAATCATTAGACAGAGGCAATAAGGATTTGTGTGATGCAACTTACCTCGTCAAAAAAGACCTGAGTCTTTCGCAAAATATGCTTGAGTTCGGTTAGTTCCAGGAAGTTACGTTTGAGCGCCTCAGCATTCTGATTTACTTCCCGCAACTCGTTTTCCAATTTCTCGAAGGTAGCTTCCAGGTCGATCATCTCGCGGGGTTGGGGAGCCTCTGGATTCTCTCCAGTATCCAACATTGGAATGCCATCCTTCTTGATCTCTTTTTCCAGATAGCGCAGCTTACGTTCCATCTCATCACAACGTCGTACCTCGTTGACAAACTTCCGTTGGAAAGCATTGACATCGGGATTTAACTAAAATGAGATATATATACATAATAAGACAAAGATATAATGATAAGGATAAGAACCAGTTTAACAATCGACAGTCATCAATTATCTAAGAAGGAGAAAATTATTGTGCTGCTAAGAGGTAAGAGAAAATGATAAGAAACGCGATTATTATAGGTACTTACGTCGCGAAACTGTACCAAACCGAGCTCGCCGAGCTCGGAGACGCAAGCATACGCAGCTTCACTTTGGAGAAACAGCTGACATAAAGTCATCTCCTCGCTGCGAAAGAGCGAGCCCATTTTTGTGGTTGAAAGTAACGTGCCGCAATAATCAAGTAGATCTTATTCCAGGAACATCAGCTGACACTTGGTCACACACTCGGTTCTCGTTATCGTCTGCCTGAAACTGCGCTCATGGGTGGAACCATACGTGATAATTACGATAACCGTAAGGTAACGCGAACGATCGATTAGTCACGAGATGCATGAGCGCAAGTCGCGTGGTAAGAATGACCTTGCTACACCCATGATATAAATACAAGGATTGTGTTCGGAAATGCCACCCGATTGGCCCCTGTATTATCTTATCCTTATTTAACATTGGGTGAATAAGAAGATAAAACGATATATAGGGATATTTCCGAACGCAGCCAAAGATATGCTTATGCACATTTCGGAAAGAAGAGCCAATCAGAAATATTGTTCAAGTCTACGTCAGGATGAAGTTCACGGAGTATAAAAAATAGGAGGCCGATCTTATATGAACAAAATCGTCAAAAAGCGTAGTCGAAAGTGGTCATCTGAATTATAGCGTTTTCGGCCCGACCGAGTTTGCACCAACTTGGGTTAGAAAATGCTTCGCTATTGGTTGGTGACGTTACACGCTCTACCAATAGGAAAGCACGAAACATCATTACTTCAACCCAGATTAGCGAGTGCAAACTCGGTTCGACCTAGAGATCCTTTAATCAAAGACTGGTTATAAGGATTTCGTCAAATTTCTTCGAGCGAGAAAGAAGTATAGGCCATCTCACTTCTCCATCAATAGCGGTGTGTATGCATGATACACACCGTTGTATAAACATCGCTTGGTCACATCGATAAAATTGTACACTCATTGGATATCGCGTGTCGCTCAGACGAACATCGCGCTGATGTGCCGGAGACATTAAACTGTTGGGATTTTTGGGGGATTTGATGATACGCTTTAGGGAATAACTTTCAAAATTATTTGGCAACACTGGCTTATATGTGTTACATATCTAACATCTGACATGATCACATGATCACGTCCGAAATTGATCGACGTCGAGGCAGTATCTTTCGAATTTAATCGTTTTTGCGTGCAATCATGATTTCACAATTATCGATACTCTTTGCTGTCTTCGCCGCAGGTAATTTTCCGTTCATTTATGAGAAATCTTTTCCAGAATGAGTAGAATACGTCGAATTTTTTGTAATCAAATTTCTGTGGAAGTCAATTTATGTTTCAAGATATTTTTTCGAAAAATTTATGAAATTATGTTCGGAATGTTTAAATTTAACTATATTTTGGAACAAAGATCTTTTCTTGAAATTTTAAATTTACTGAGCTCGAGCGTTGCTTTACTGAAGGCAGGCCTCTGTACTTGTATCATCTTTACAGTTTAATTATTCTAATGCTTGCTTTTCTAGTTCATGCCAATGGCGAATTCGTTGTTTTTCATTCACCAGACAGTGTAGAATTCACTGTAAATGAACAACTTATTGAACAAAGTTACCTTAAGGAGATCTTGTTGGCTTCTCTTGGTTACACTGGGAAGCAGGTATATCATCTCTTGATAGAGTTTACATTTTTGGATATATGTATCAGAAAGCTTTATGAATAAATGTATTTAAAATATTCAAACAGGAAATAAAGTTTATTCCTCGAAATTTGCAATTTCAAGTATCTAGTACTTGAAATGATACATATATACATATGTTTCTTGCATTGTAAAGCCTGTTGTTTTTAGTTGAACTTCTTGCACAGTTTATCTTTTCTCCTTTTCTTTCTACATTAGAAGAAAAAATGAGAGAAAAGGTATGTAAGAAGTTTAGGTAAAAAGAACAGACCTATGTTATATTTGGAAAGTTATTTACTGTGACAAAAATGTATTTGTGATCTTACAGAAGGATTCAGAACATAGCATTGTCATATGGGATCCATTTTCAGTGCCCAGAGCATTGGTTGCTATAGTGGTTGAGGGAGTAGAAAAATTACCTTTCTTAAAAGACAAAGCTAAAGTTACATGTCCTCTGATTGATGATGAAGCAGAAGAAATTACTTGGCAAGCGATTAGAAGCAGAGTGGAGGAGCGAAGCAATGATAATACATTGGTCAGGATTAACTTGAGCGATGGAGTTGATGCTGTAAGTATTAAATAGACATATTGATAGTTTTAATAGCATCATAAAACGAAACTTGTTTTAATAATTTGACTTTTTATTATTGAAGATCCTAGACATTAAATAAGATATTTCTAATACAGCTTGGCCAGTCAGCTCTCGGTGAGCTTAAGCCTACTAAAATCGAGAAATTAAAAGCTCTGAATTCAGAGATTGAGGAAGATCGTAAATTCGTTGAGGAGATACAGCTTCTTCATGCCATTGGTGACAATGCACTTTCTGCAAAAAAGCATGATTCTGGTACAGATGTTTATTGGCTAGTAGTATCAACACTCAAATCATGTTTGGAAATGCATGGAAACAGTTCTGCAACTGCTAAGGAGGCATATCAGTTATTAAGTAAGGAAATAGAACATGTTTCCAAGGCCTTTTTCAACATTTATGATGGAAAGGTGCGTAAATTTATTCATTTTATCTGCAAATTTCATCAATAATTAAAAATCAATATCTTTTATAATAGTATATTTGCATGTTCGTATGTATAAAAAATATAATTACATATTCAGAATGAAAATGATCTAAATATTCTTGACTCAAGAATATTTTAAAAAAAGTAAGTTTATTATAGAAGAAAGGCTATGAGTTAAAGCTAGTTGTTAATTGCTAATAATTAATCTATCTTTAATATCCAATCGATATAAACATTTAATATACAGATGTTTTAATCTTTATCAGGTCATTTTTAGTGTAAAACATAAAAATTAAATAATTGAAAATAAAAATTAAGATAATAATAGGGTCGCAATATTGGTTACATAATCATTAAATATTTAAAGTAAAAAATATAATAAAGGACTATGAACCGAGCTAGATGTTTTGTGCTAATACATAAGAAATCTGTATTGATGATATGATATAGAATAAATAATGTTTAACAAATATTTCGACCTCAATCGGATCATTCTCAATGTTAAATAAATTTAAAATGATAAAAAAAAGTTAGGGATATAACGTACGTTTTTTACGTTATATTAAAACTCAATAAAAAATCAATTTAGGAAATAATATGAATACGAAAACTGTATTTTTAATTGATATTGTAATCTTTGATCACGACAATCTTCAACATTTTTACAGTATGAAGACTCATAATCAAAGATTAGACAATATCAGTTAGAGATACAGCAAGGCTATTCTGTAACTCTTAACGCGTTTCGTTATCATTATAACGTTGTTGCGCAGCTTTTTTATCATAATAAAAAAGCTGCGCAACGATGTTGTAACGCTAACGAAGCTTGTGTTAAGAGTTACAGAATAAAAGCCTATATATTGTATTCGTATTATCCCTTGGTTGGCTTTCTGACCTCTCTGTTGGAAGTCACAGTGTCAGAATTATGTGCATTAAGCCTAGAGCCTTTTCGGAAAGCAAAGCTCGTTTGTTTTCACTTTTTCAATAATAGTAGATTTATACAATAATAATAGATATTATTCGGTTCCTGACACAAAAAATCGCGTATATGGACATAGGTGGGATTGTACTCAGATCTACCGACCGTGAGTCAATCGCACTGAGCGACAAGCTACTTGACGTTCTCATACATAGCCATTAGTATATTAAATATTTATTTATCGATTGAATATTAAAGATAGATTAATTATTAGCAATTAACAACTAGCTTTGATTAGTAGCCTTTTTTCTTTGGTAATATTCAGAATGCTTTTGAATATCTGTTACAGATTGTCATTGTAATTTTCACGAACGATGCTTGGAAGGTGAGGAATGCACGGTCAGTTCTTGAGAGAAAGCGCAGAGACGACACTCCGGTAAGTTATTCAATAGTATCTTATGTAAATTTTGCAATTGAATGTGTTTTAAGCAGAATTGTTTGAAATTTTTTGAGAACATTGATCAAAGAAAGAAATATATATTTGAAAAAATATGTATATATAATTAAATATTTGAAAAAATATGTATATATAATTAAAGAATATGATAATTATATTGATATCCAAACTGATGATAGTAGTACGATATGATATAATTACATTCCCATTTAAGACAAACTCGATTGTCTTAATCTTTATGAGTTCTTTGAAGAAATCTTTGTTATATTTTATTATTGAGATTACAGTATGTGTATTGTGTCAGATATAAAAACTTGATTATTCAAATTCAGTTTATTTGTTTTTTATCAAATTATTTGCAAGAAAAATAATTCTGTATTAAAATAAAAAAAAATTACAAGATAAAATTACTCCTGATATCAAAAATAAAATCAGCAAATGAGAATACCGCACGCAGTACTTTGCGCGTAAAGTTTCAACATATTTTATGATTGCAAGTAAACAAAATTTTTCAGCCACCTTCAACAAAACGAAAAAATACATATGAGAATAAATAAAATTAAAATTTTATATTATTTATTTTTATCATTTTCCGACAATACATATATATATTAGGTGCGCAACTAATGAAAATGCCATCAAAATAACAGCGAGAACTTAGTTGCGCACCTAATAGGATGTCTCAGACCTACCGCATCACCTATTAAACAAATTCTTAAAATCATTTTGAGACAAAAATGATACCAAAATGTTGAGTTTAAAGAAGGAAATATTTAAAGATAGAAGATGCAAATCAGTGTAATATATCAAGAGATGGACTCGATGATAAAGATAGAAGCAGTTCGAGTTGTATTAGAATACGTTCCGAATTACATATGAAGTGGATGAGGTATCATTTAATTCTTCTTTATTCTTCAGTGAACAATAAGGACAAATGATGCATCATTGTTAAAGAAGATCGTAAAATGAAATCCGAATTCCGATGGGATCGCTTTTACCGATAAAATGCGACACGCCGACATATCGTTGGTCGCGTTCAGCAGACTCAACCATGATGTAAGAATACAAGGTGTATCATTGTGCATAATGACGATAGCAATACTGGAAACAACTAATCAAATTTTGGCCTCAGTGCATTTTCCTGCGTATAATAGCGCTGGCATATTGGAATAACCAATCAAATTTTGACCACAATTCACTCTCCTACTGCGCATCCTCGGGAATGATATACCTTGCCTTCTTACATAGGGCGTTCGGGGAAATACTATTCACCCTATGGACGCAAACACTGTTTGTGAAGTCAATAGCGCGATAGCGTTAGCAAACTACTCCATGAATGATCCTAGCGTAGCGTTGGTATTTAATTAGAGAGATTTAATATTCGTCGAGGTTAAATTAATGTATGGAATTCTGTTTTTAATCACTGATCAAACTTTTCTTTGTAATTTAAATTTTTAGGATTTTGTAACGTATATTTGTAACATAAATTTTTAATTTTTTCGTAGTGAATAACAGAACGCAATCTCAATTGCAATTTCTGATGGCTTGCCGGAGTGAACAACGTAAATCAGATCAAAAAATTAATAGTTACATTGAGTAAATTAATTAAATAAAAGGAAGAATCTTTGAGCATCTGTCGTCAATTTGAGGAGAAGCGTATCTACATGTAATAAGGATTTTGAGCATCTGCAGCGGAAATCAAATACACAAGTTGAACTCTGTAGAAACTTTGAAAAGTTAAAGATGATACACAAGCAAGAATTACGGTTATTCCAGTCTAGTGGCAAGTCATCAATTGCAGAGATTGAAATTGAGATTGCATTCACTATGATAAAATTTCAAATTCATATGTTAGCATTGATAGCACGCAGTTATGACGTAACACGCTATCATTAGTGACGTCATGATCGTATTTGTTAGCGCTATTTGCAGCTCTGCGAACAGTTTGTAGTGCTAAACAGCGCGAATAGCCCCGAACGCACCCATCATGGACTCAACTGTTGCGGAATGGATCTGTGAGCGCTCGCTGCTATTGGATGATTTAAAATATACCAATAGTAGTGAACGCGAAAATAACTCGTTACAGTTACAAGTTACAAGTTACTTTTTTTGGTAAATTTATTGGTAACTGCGTTACTTTTTTTTGGTAACTATAACGATAACATAGTTACATTTTTTTTTTATAACGATAACGAATCTTACAGTTATTTTTATCATTACTTTGCACACAATGGACACTTTGCACACTGTTTGATTGGACACAAGCCACTCATAATGCTTGAGATTAGAAAGCTCCTAGGTACTCGTCGGCTGTGATTGGTGATCGTTGATCTTAAAAAAATAACAAATTACTTTCTCAAGTAATGATAACTGCAACGAAAAATCGGTAACTTGTTACTTTTCTACTCGGTAACAAGTAAGTGTAACTTGTTACTTTTAAAAAGTAACTTTCCGTTCCCTAAATATTACCTAATCAGATATTACTGAGAATCTAAAATCTATAAATGATTTTATTGCAAAAAATATTGCCAAGTATAATTTATTCTCGTCGGCCCAAATTTGTATCATAGTGTTTATCACATATCTCTTTAAAATATGATGTTTGCTTACTAGTTCACTTATTAGTTATTGGTTATTGCGACAAGTATTGTCGAAGTCTCTGATCGAATTGGTATGACGCCCGTCTCGCAAAGTTATAAGTTCAAATCCTGATTGAGATAATATTTTTCGCCATAAAATCATTCGCAGATTTTAGATTCTCATTATCATTTGATTATTAATATTATAAAGATGCTTATTAGCATCAAAAATTATTAAATTACTTGTCAATTTAATATTTTTACTTTGATTCTGTCCATATTTCAGGACTGAAAAAGGTTTCAGTATATAGTTCTGCAGAATGAGATATGTATATAAATTTACATAGAAATATTTAAGCACTAAGAATCGCTTTAACCAAATGTAGGAATGATTCTCTTATTTAATTAAAATTATAATTCAAATTTTATTTGTAGACATATATAATTTGTCAACACAGAAAAAGTCTATTTTATCAATATATTCATAAGACAGATTGGCTAGTTCGACGTATAACATATTTTAAAATAATATTTGTGTCGCTTTTAGTATTATCAGCATATACAGTAAATTCTTAATATACTTAAATATAATAAATAAAAAAAGTTACGAAGAGATAAGAATAACAACAAATAAATAAGGACCAATATTAAAAACGAACAAATATTAGGTATATTAATAATTCATTAAAACTAATAATTCATTACTATCTGACAAAATTTGATCTCTTTTTCCTACGGCAACCACAATCCGCATTTCTTAATAGATTCAAGGTCGCTAAATTCAAATCCGTCAGAGAAAGGTGCCCATCACGTCAGGTTTTTGAGATAAATTGAGTAATATGAGCCAAAAACAGCGTTACCATTTTTTTTTGACTAAATGAAATTTGAAGACATCTTAACTGATGCAATAAACAAGAAAGGACAAATTTTGAACAACCCGATTGGCTATCTTTAAATACTTTATATTCGAAAACTATTACAACCTCAATATTACAACTATTACATCTCAATATTTTGGTATACAAATTTTCATTTCAAAATGATTTGAAGAATCTGCATTAATAGGTGGTAGATCTAGAACACTCTTGTATTTGATACAATATAATATATTTGATACAAAGTAATTTATAATGTTATATGTATATAACATTAATGTATAATATTATATGATATAACTAATTTTGCAACCGATTTACTAAGTAAGTATACCTATATCATGATTTTTATCTAAACGCTAATTAATCAAAATTTATTCTCTGTTCCGGAAAATAATAGAAAAGACAATGACTTTACTCCAATTATTCAGAACTATTAATCGCCGTATGTTAGTTCGCTTAAAATTATTTATTCTTCGTTTGTACTGTTTTTAATTGTTACGGGATATTTTGTAGGCCCATAAGACTAAAAATGTTAAATCCACTGCCAAAGGAGCACCAATTAATTCAGACATTAACGATAATTTTTTCATCAAGGTATCGTGTCGAATCGCATTGCATGGGCTATTATTTGATTGAGAGTGTTTTTTCCAAATTAGAGATAGCTTTTTGCATGGATATCGCGAACACGACGAATTACTCTTTAATTATTTTAATCAACAAACTTACAAACTTGTCTATCCAAATATCGTTTTCTTTTTTTTTATATTTTTTTCGAGTAAATTTTAACAAATCATCAAAACTTGATATCAACAAATAAATACTCGCTGAATCTTTAACATTCTGATATCTTTGAACAATAAAATTTGAAACTCGGTGAATTTTCACCAGTAAATTTCCATCGATGAATTTAGATAATCGCTAATATGATCTTTGATTTCTTTTAACATGATTGTTAGTATCTTTGAGCTTGATTAAATTCCAAAGTTTGATATGAGCTGAATATTTACCACAGACAAATCCTTGAAATGATTCAAGATTCGTAAAAATAAATAGAATTCGTACCAATAAATAGAATTTGAAACTCAATCGATAAATCAATGTACTTGGCAAACTTAAGTCCTTCAAGTTCTAGTATCTTTGAAATTTTGAGGACTGGGCTTGCTTTAATCACTTTATTCAGATACTGAACAATACTGATTGTAGCGAGCCGGCGAGCAAGATGAGCAAAATAATAAAATGGACGAAGAGGAGTATAGAATGCGTAGTACTATCGAATCCAACACAGCACTTGACAGCACTACTGAACGTACGGGCGTTCAGGATAATAGCGGAACGTCGGAAAAGTCCGACGAAGTTAATACGGAGTATAAGATAAATACTAATACACAGACAATAGGACAGGTATCGCAAACATATTAACATGCATCGCAATCGATGGGTCTAGGGAAACACTAGATAAGTCCATTTTTTCTCAATTTTTGCGTTCTGATGTTTCATGTCATTGTATGATTATACAAGAAGTGAACACTGTTTACTAATTTTTTTGCTAATTTTTTAAGATTGATAATATAATAATGTCAAAAGAAGAAGTAAATTTTATATGAAAAAATTGTATAAAAAGTAAAAAAAAAATATAAAGAATCAGAATAAAACTCAATGAATACGGTTTAAAACGCATCTTTCGATCAGATGTGCTGAAATGCTTAAGTAAACTTATCATTTTAAGAAAGCTGTATTAAGTAATAAAATTTCAAAATTTAGCGCATAGAAAAATTCGACAAAATGTGACTTGTCAAGTTCTTTTCCTAGGTCCTTCAGTTATTTTCGTTCTGCCAGACTTTGCCAGAATATTAGCGCACCTGAGTTCTAAGGAGATGAATAATTAATTTAATGTTTATCAAGTACTCCAGTAGAACTAAATTACAATATTAACAAGATATCTTCAACACTTATCGATTCAATTTTAGTCGCTAGTAAGATTATATAACACTGCTTTCTTTTGCATTGCTAGATGTCAGTTAATGTGAATGATATTTAATCATAATGACATCGGAGAGGAAATCATAATTTTGTCGTACTCTAGGAATGGCAACGGTTGAATAAATATAAATGGGCCTAAAGATAATCAAAAGAGTTTCCAGAACTGTAGCACAGATTCTTTCAAGTACTCGTGCAGGAGAATCTGCGCTGCAATTCTGAGAACTCATATCCGTGGTTATTATCAGTATCAATAAGTTTTCTTTGTTATAATCTTTAGGCCCGTTCACATTTATTCGATTGTTGCCATTCTTAGCGACAGGATTATGATTTCCTTTCCAATTTGTTTTTAACTAAGTGGCAAATTTTAGATAGCTAGTTTTGTACTTGAGAAATGAAAGGAATTAAGTCCAAGAAGTTATTTCTTCCGGATCAATTACCATAAATATGATTGCACGTAAATGTTGACAATTTCGGGCTTGTTGTCTCGTGCTTCTCAAGTGCAGAATTATAATCTGCATGAAGGCTTATCATGTCCAATTGCATGCATATATTCTAATCATGATGAATCTATAAGTAATATGAATTGATAGCAAATTTTGATTAGGGAAGATTTAACCAGCCAATTAGTTATTTAGCAAGTATTGGAAGCAGATCTTATTGATAAGTTACAAACTCTTAACTTATTTTGTATGTTAATTCTGAAAACTTTGGTATTTTTTATGCATTTCTAATACGCTGAATTTTTTTCTTATTCGTAGATGTTAAGAAATGTAGAGTGCTATTAGTTTAAATTTAACAAGTATTAAAAAGAGAAAGAAAGAAGAGAAAAAGAGAGGGAGAGTGAGAGAGAGAGAGAGAGAGAGAGAGATACTCGCAAAATTGAGATTTCGTAGGTTTTCGAAAATTGTGTCTATCTCTCTGTTACAACGATCTTTCTGTTTCAGCCTGAATTTTCTGGACGTGCGAAGACTTACACGGAAGACTATCCTGTTATATTCAACATAATGTTGTGGTTCGGCGTTGTTTTCGTCTTCTCACTTTTAGCCATTTGTAGTATGTGTTTTCATAAATACAGGTTTATTTAGCTTGAAATTATTTTGATAAAATTTTCAAAAGTATTCTGATCGTTATTTAAAATCAGAAATTATAAATTTCTTTGATTCGAGTGGCCTCTATTAATCTGATTAATTTTATTTGCAGGATATTAATTTGTATAATTTTATATATGTATATATATGTGTGTGTATATACAAGGTGTTCCACCTAACTCGAGCATGAGAAATATCTCGCTTGGTTTTTATGATAGGAAAAAATTTTCAGATCAAAGTGGAACAGTTTCAAGAAGGATGTATTTTTGTCATGTTGTCTTTCTTCTAAGTGGTAATTAATCTGCATATAAAAGTATTAAGGTAGATATAAAAAACCAATAGTTTATGAGATATCTTATATTTTATTCCGACATATATTGACATAAAATGTTAAATGATTCGTAAATTATTAATTTTGTAATAATCGTACTTTAATATTTTTATGAACAGAATAATGAGATGAATCAATTGATGGAAAGAAAACACATAGCTTTAAAAAATATATGTATGCGAAATGGATAATTTTTTAAATAAGCAATTATGTGTTTTCTTTCCACCAATTGATTCATTCATCTCATTATTCTATTTATTAAAACATGTTAAAGTACAAGTATGTTGATTATCAAAAAATAGTTTACGAATTATTTAATATTTTAGGTCAATATACCACAATATAAAATATCTCGTAAACTATTTTTTATATCTCTACCTTAATACTTTTATGTGCAGAATAATTAGAGGAATATCATATATTGTGTAAAAAAATTATACAATTCCATTTTAAAAAATGATGGTGATTCATATCTCTTTGGCGCCTCCTAGAAGAAAAACGACATGACCAAAATATCTCTTAAAACCGTTCCATCTGAAACATTTTTTTCCTATCATAAAAACTAAGAGATATTTCAGATGCTCGAATTAAGTGGGACATCGTGTATATAGTACATATGTATATTTTAGATATACTGTGTCTCGAATTTAAATGACCAAAGGGAGCACGTAGGGGATCTATAAACTAAGACAAAAAGTTCTTTAGAGATATATTCATTTTTGTTTCGTTTTGAAAAAAATTGCAAACAAAGACAAAACGTAGTTTTTATTTTTATACTTATTATTTATTCATTCATACTGTTTATTCATATTGTTTATTCACATTATTACTTGCTTAATACAGATATTATTTAAAATGTTGGCCTCTTACAGAAATGCATGCATTGCATCTTATATGAACAGCTCATGTTGCAATCAAACACTGATCTGGTTAACGCAAATAATTCATCAATCCGGCACTCTTCTATCTGGAGTTTTTCGACGCCTATACTCTTGCTCTGCTTCCGAAACATTATCGCTGAAGTCGTACACGAAAATAATAATATTCCGAAAATTAAGTTTGTCTTTTTTGTCTTTTTTTGATTTTCTCCAAAATGAATTAAAATTAAGCATATCTTTAAAAAACTTTTTCTTAGTTTATCAATTCCTTAAACGCTTTCGAAGTTCGATTATTTAAATTCAGGACATCCTATATAGATATATCTATACATATATGTATAGTTTTATTAGATATTTATATGTATATAGTTTATATATAATTTATATTTATTTATATTTCTATATACATAATTATACTATTTTGAAAAAGGTCTCGACTATCAGAATTTATAATAAAAAATAAGAGTTTCTATTTAAAAAACTCAAGATGATATTGTTGATATATGACATTTTCAAGATCATTCAAGATCAAATCAATATATGTATATATGATGGATAACTTGATACATTACAAATTTTGCTTCAAAAATTTTTTTCCAGAAACGTCATCTTTTTGAGACAATCTAGTGCCCCTTTTTGTTACACCTTGTATATACCAGAGTTGGAAACTAATGCGTTACTTTTTTGTGGCAATCATCGTTACTGTTTTGTTTATTACAGTAATTTCGTTACATTTTTATAATAATACATTTTTATGCTAATGATTCAACCGTTACTTTTATCGTTACTTTAGTTTTTATTGGATAAGTTGGATTAGATATTTCGATATTGCTGGTAGGATTCGTTACTTTTTCAAGTAACGGTAACGATAACTACTTTTTAAAATCTACGCGCTACTTTTTAAAACAGTAACTAGTAACGAGTTATTTTTAACGAAAACTAATTGTAACGATAATGCGTTAGTTTTTTAACGTTCCCATCTCTTTTGAATAACTAAATGTTACAAAAACAAAGATTTATAAGTTGTTGATTAATTCTTTGGATAATTATTCAATCATACAAAAGAGCTTGAACGCGATGATAAGATCTTAATATCTTAATATTTTCAGTCGCTATCGCCGATATGGATCCAGGACGAGATTCTATCATTTATAGGATGACATCGAATCGAATGAAGAAAGATAATTAAGTGTAAATACATAAATACACACACACACACACATACACACACACATATATATATATATATAATATATAAGTAACATAATTTTGTAATATATGTTTCTGTGCAAAATGTAGTTTGTCTATATATGTATTATCAATTTTAATTCGAGTGTGTTCAAGGAAAGTAGATTTGTATTACTTATTCTAAGGATTCCTTAAATTTGATGATCTAAGCTCTCGTCAGAGCTATTTAAATAGCAAGGATATACACAACTGTATTTTGTAGCATAAGAAATTGTTGTTATAGCATTATAAAATTTCTGGAAGTTTGTATATCTCTTGAAAGTTAAAAGTTATCCCAAATATAATATAATCATACAAATTAAAACATTTTATGCATTTTTAGTCGTTATCAGAAAGAATCCTGAAAAATCCTGTGTTATGGAAAATGTTATGGAAAATGGATCTTGGTCAAATTATTTCAAATTTTAATATTTTGAAACTCATTTCAAGCTGATTAAAAAAACTTTACTAAAATAAACCTTTAAATACTTTAATTTTTGTTCCAGGACCTTCGGAAAATCGTATATTTTATATGAAAAATAACAGAAAAATTGAAATAAATCTTTTTTACTGCACTTGCGCATGTATCAATAGTACGTTTATAATTTCAGTTTTTCGTCCGTTCTTAGAATTGAATACTTGGAATGAACGATATGGACATGATGGCCATTCATTCCTTTGAGGTGCTTGATTTATGTCCTCATGCCTTACGGTGCTTAGTATTTAGTACCGTAACAATATTTTTTCGAAATATTAGAAAATGTGATACTTTTTTTGTGATATTATGTCCGACAGATTTTTTTATAACATATTATATGTATACAGTAGGATTGGCGAACGTTACTTTTCAATTACTTTGCCGTTACTTTTTATAGTAAACCATTTCATGACGATGTTGCATTTTTTATGACAGTAACGCTAAATAACTAAACACTAAAGTTGTGCTAAGATTAAGAAAGTCACTTTGAAAAGTAATTGGTCATCATTACGCGTTACTTACTGAAAAAAGTAATAAGTAATGAGTTCTTAGAAGTAACGCGAGTAAAAAGTCACGCATTACAAATTAATGGAAAAAGAAATTTTTTTTTTTTAATAACGAATTACTTTTTTAACCCGTTACAAGTAACGATTGACTTTTCTAACTCTGACGTTACCATTACCGTCATAAAACAATCATAATGTCATTAAACTATTATAACAAGGTAACGATTAATAAAGTAACGACATTACAAATAATGTATTACTTGCCCTAGTATACAGTATACATTTATAAAAGAACACGGTAGTGTCGCTGTGCTTGGCTTAACGCCAAGACACTACTATGTCTCCTGATGAATGTAGAAATAGCAAGTAACGCGCTACTTGTAACGTTACTTTTGTTGCCGTTATTTCGCAATAACGATTGATGTTACGAACTTTTTATAACGTTAATAGTAACACCAAGGTTGGAATAGTGCGTTATTTATATCTCGTTACTTGTAACAAGGTAACGCATTATTTTTACTCGTTACTTTTATTTTTTCAATAATATCGTGTAATAGTGACGAGTTTGTTTTTAAACGTGACTTTTCTAACTTTAACAATCTCAACATTTAATTAATTATTATTATAGTCATAAAAAATTGTAACGTTATTACTAAATTGTTATTATTAACAGTAACGGTAAAAGTAACGGCGTTACTTAACTTGCCAACCTTGTTCATAATATATTATACAGTATTCAGGAAATGGAAGTAACTTGTTTCTTGTAATGAAGTTACAATTATCAGTTACTTCTTTAGTAACTTATTAGTAACTGCTTTACTTTTTTTCTTTGATAACTGTAACAGTAACGAAATTATATTTTTTTAGTAACGGTAATAAATTTTACAGTTAGTTTTATCATTACTTTGCACATGATTGGACACGATACGACACAAACCACTTACATTATAAAAAAATTTCGTAAATTTACACATATAATAGATGCATAATAGATTACATGATTAGTCCTGTAAATATAAAAAATCCTGCAATTTTACAGAAATTATGTAATTCCACAAAATTATGTAAATTTGCTTTTATTGTGTAAATATCTTATTTTATATTGAAAATTGTGTAAATAGCAGGATATTTTGAATATTTTCTGTAATTATCTAAATTTTAGTAACAAATTTTAATTATATAATTTTAGTAATATGGAAGAAAAAAGATTTATTTTAACTTTATTTATTTTTCTTTAGTGTAGTGTAAAATGTGATGATCTTTTGTTAATTTTTGTTTATTCTTTTTTCAGTACACATTTGTGCTAAATGATGAAATCTTATACATCTATGTAATGTTCTGTGATACATACAATTAACTGATTTTTATGATTATCAAATTTTCTTGAGAAAAAAAATATGATAGTTCATATTGCAAAAAATATATACATAGGGAGAGTGGAGAGAGTGGGATAAATCGGATCTATTTGCTCTCTATAAGGCATTCAAAATAAAGTCCGATCGTAAAACTGAAGATGCCGTTGGAAAAAAATCATTTAATTTCCTTCATTTTTGCTTCAGATCATTTTGGCGTATCTCTCACCTCTATTGAACTATAATAGAAAATGTAAAAACGCTTTTTCCTGTCCGATTCGGAACTATTAGTTTGAAATTGGATCATTCCCTGGTTCAAATCGGATACTTCTATTGTTATGGACTTTTAGATAGAATTTTAAAATATTTTAATGTATTTTTGTTAGTATTGATTAAAAATGAGCAATTTGACGAGTCAAAGATAAAAATTTTATTGAGAAAAAGAAATTACTGACAGTTTATATTTTATTAGAATTGAAATCAATAAACTCAATTAATCTGAGTCTGATGACTCATGATATTTTACTGATTTAATTTCTTGGACCAGATCTGGTCAACCGATCACCAGTACTACAATCAGGCCTATAAATTATCTACTCTAGGTCCAATTTGGACATGGATCCTTTTGAACTTTGGAACAAATTTTACAATAAACCACAAAAGTGATGACGCTTGATATTTTTGAATATTCTACACTCTTTAATTATCTTAAATTATCTTTCATTTTTTAACATCTTTTAAAAAATTACAAGGATTTTCTTTTTTAAAAAAATTTTCACATGAAAATATATATTTTATTCTATGAATGTTATGACAGAGAACTGTCAAACTGCTGTCGCACGCTGTCGGTGTCTTATAAGGACTTTATATTCTAAATAGCACGCAAATCTGCTTAACCGTATTCATTTTAATTAAAAAGGTCCTATTTAGAACACACGGTTAGGCTACTCTCTCCTAATACAATTTAAAACATTAATTAATTTGGAACATTAACCAACGATTACACTTTTCATCTGAAAATATCACTTTGCTTTTGTCTAATAACTTTTCCTGTCCATGTACAAATATAAACAATAATATAATATAAAATATAATATAATATAAAATATAATATAATAAAATATAATATAATAAATATAAACAAATATAAATTTTGATGGCTTAATTAATTTATCTCTATTTATTAAAAGTAATAGCAAGTTAGATATGTCACTTGCTTTCAATTATTGTTTACGTATTGTACACGTTACGTTTTTCTTTAATTATTTGACAACAAATCCCGCTTTGTATTCAGTTATATCTTCGATAATTAGAATTAAAGTAGTATATAAAACAAATATAATCGTGAATCAATTGAAATAAAATTTTTATCAAGTGATGACTTTTGTTAATAGTATTAGTCCTTGTATTTCGGATTTGTATCAAGTTGATAATTTTCGTTAACGATTATTAGTCATATCCTTCTATTTCGGATTGGAAGTTAATATTAACGTAGAATTCAACATAATCTAAAAATACAAAGATGTTTCCTCCTATTTCAGGATGGCAAAAAGTACAAGAAGAATTATTTATAGTACAAGAAGTATTAAAATCAGCACCTAATTATCAGCACATCCTTATAATGATAGATACTCCATCAAAGGTTATTGAATACACATGACACCCTATTATGTAATAATGATAAGCAAATTTATAACAAATTTACTTTTTCAAAACTCTCAATAAAATCCTTTAATAAATATCCTAATAGTATTTTCCAATGATCGTTTGAAGTATCACTAAAGAAATACTAAAGCATTTGCTTGATATAAATCATTTTGATCGTAAGTGAAATCAGAACCTACATTGACAAAGTCAACATAATTATAATGACATGTTATCAAACAGCCATTTTATCAATCACAAGTCACGATATTAATAACATTTCTTTCTTGTACTTTTTGTCGAATAAAGTTAAAGATTTCATGTGTAAATCCATGCTTGCGCGCCATCAATTGTCTTATACCATTTTCGTATTGTGTTTGATCACTAGATAATAACTTATTAATCTCTAGACCACTAATATAACATGCGATGGTTCATATTGAATAATGTAGATATATGTATATATATATATATCCTATAATACATATGTATATATGTGTATATATATATGTGTATTATAGGAATATATGTATGGATTATTTATGAGGGAATTATCCATGTTTTCGGATTTTAAAATCCCGATAATCTAAAGGTTAAAAGATATTTTAACCTTTAAGCATGAGTTGAATAAAAATGTAATGTTAGGCAAATCTCCTTAAATCAAGAATAAATAGCGTTTTCTTAATTGCTGATAAATGTTTTTTCATCATTTCGAAAAGTGAAATAGATCCAGTCTACTTATGTAAACAAAAGAAATTGTTATGGAAAGAAAAAATTAATCATTACAGTCATCTGAATAAATATTCTATAAAAATTGATAAATTAGCCATTATTAAAATCTGTAGTTGTAACAATTTTAATCTAATATCGAATTCATTGAATGCATTGAGTAATTGTCTAATGTTTTCGAAAAATAGAAATTGAAAGATATACTTAAATATACTACGCAGTGATATTGTCTTATATATTTCATTTTATAGGCACAAAATTCTCACATAAAGTTCTAGATTGTCTTTTTAAATTATGTATAAAATTCAATACATTTTTTAAATTTATTAACAGTAAGAGACTGTCTTATTTACTCTATTTCGTTATTTAATATTAATGAAAAAATAATTTAAAGTTGCATTTTTTATATCAA